TAGGATCGATTTTCAAATGGTGGCAACTGACCCCTGGGTCGATGCCACCATATCCTCATGCCACCAAGCAAAGACATCTTGGTTCTTGCGCAAAAATTCTTTGAGTTCCTTTTTGAGCCTCGGGGCAAGACTCTGACCAACTTGCAATAACTTGGTGGGATTCGTTGGGTCAATAGGAAAATTTTCTAGTTCATCAAGTGCTGGCACCTCAAGGTTGGTAACGCCAATCACCATATTCATGTCCCTGGGCTCAACTTTCCTTATAGAGTTAAGGTAGCATTCCCGAGCCCCTCTTTGATCTCCTTTCACCGTTGCCACTCCATTATCGGTTAAAAATTTCATGCATAAGTGGTGAATGGAGGTAACAGCTCCTAAATCCTTTAGTGCGGGACTCCCCAACACCCCGTGGTAGGCTGACCTGCTGTTAACTACCAAGAATTCCATGAAGTTCAAGGTTGATACATGGGGTTCTCCCATGTCCATAGCAAGGGTAATCTTGCCCCTCGAAATTATGCTATCCCCAGTGAAGCCGTATAAGGGAGTATCGGTGGGGGTCAGCTCATGATCCAAGATCATTTTGTCGAAGGTGGACCCGAAAAGTATGTTCACTGAACTACCATTATCTACCAACATTCACTTCAGTCCATTCCTGGCTATCACAGCCCTCACCACTAGGGCGTCACAATGGGGATAATGAACACCATCAGAGTCTTCATGTGTGAACACAATAGGGGATGATTGGTTCCTTCGAGAGCTGCTGCCTATAATGTAACTAGTTAGCGGAGGACCTTTTGCTTTTCGAACATAATTCCTTTGTGAATTCTTGGTCTCTCCACCAACATAGGGATCTCCAAAAATTGTGTCGATCTCATGAATTGGGGCATTTTCTTGTCGGTTTCGATGGCCTCTTCGTTGGTGTTCATCTGAGTTCCTATGTCCCTCATGCTCTCTCCTACGAGGGGATACTTCTCGATGGCGGGAAGCGGCCTCATCTCGCCTCGGCTGTGCATCAAGCCTAGGCGGGGGCCTGCTCCTTGGTCTAGAGGTGTCTCGATCGTTGCTTCTGGGATTTGAACCTCTAGGATGCTGGGCTATATCTCTACAGTTCGCAGTATCGTAGCTGTAAGAATGATGATAGGTGCAATATCCTTGGGAGTTAGTTCTACCTTGATTCGAACCTCTCCCTCGGCCTCGTCCTCGTCTTCTTCCGGGCCCGGCTGTGTTGACTGATTTGCTTGAGTGTTGGTGACTGGTACATTCTCATATGCTAGTGCTGGTACGACGTTCAAGGTGGCTGCGACAAGTGCTTGGCCTGAGCCTTGGCCAATTTCATTGCTGGTCCATCAGGTGGGAGG